TTTAGATAATTATTATTGTAATACTAATATTAGAAAAGGAAAAATTCAACAATAGGGATGACTCTTTTCTCTCTGTATCCATTAGTTCAACGCTTCAGATTCTTAAAACATCAATCAAATTAATTGCGTCCCTTTGTCTATCTCATATTATGTTGCTCTCTATACTCTCTTGAGTCTTGGGGAGGTAAGAATTTATATGTTTTACATTTACCATATCATCGATACTTAAACAGCATTTTACACCAAATAATTAGACTAGTGTAAACATCGAATACTTTATTTGAGAAGATAGCAGTATAACGTTTATCAGAGAAGATAGCGAAACATATAATGTTTAAATACCTCAAATTGTCTATCAGTATCTCGTTACTTCAAATGCTAATAACAGTAGGGATGCAATCTTCAAACTCACATTTGGTGGCCATCGATATGTCATTTAAGATAGAAGAAGTCGCAATCCGATAAAATGGAAACAATCCTTCACAAAGAATCAAGAAAATCACACTTAACCATCTGTATTCAAACAGTAACAAGAAGAAACTTTGAGAATCGTAACCATTGTTTTTTCCAAGTATCAATGTATTTTCTCCTCCTCCTCTATGTTCTACACAAACTGAAGCAAAATCAAAAACTTTCTCTTTTTCCAACAACAACATCGAGTCTGTCCACACCTCTATTAGACACACAACTTATTCTCCTTGATGCATCTTTATGACGATCTCAGCTTCCGTAGCCCAAAATCGTTTTCCATTACAATGTATGCCCAACGCAATCAAATTAGCACCCAAAACAACAACGTAAACAAGTGCATGGATGAATCTCTTAAACCTTGTAACTGGAACCTTGTCTATTATCCTCTGCTCGAACAAAAAAAAACTTTGTCCCAGGGGTGCACAAAAAAATTCTTCGTGGGCATCTCCCACAAGAATAGTGTGAAAGTAACTTTTTTTCAACGTCGAATATATTAATCATGAAAGTTTCTCCTCCTCCTATGCCTGAAGATGAGAGTTAAACTTGAATTTCCTAGCAATTGTAATGAAAGAGTGACCACAAACAAAATTGTC